ATTAAACGTAAATAAAATGAATTCAAAGTAATTTTTTTATGAAATTCCTTTTTTATTGATTTTTCAAAATATGATAACTTTGTGTACATTTTTCTGATTTAAGTCAAATATGCGCCGTTTTGTTCGTAAACGGAGATGCCAACTTCATTATACCCCTTCCGTAGAAGGCTGCGTCCCTATTGGCAAAAAGCTCGGAGAACCAATTTTCACAGGCCTCTCTTAAGGCCAACTTCTCACCAATAAGCGCGTTCGCCATGGATAGGAAAAGATGGTAATCACTTGGTTCCAGGTCCGGACTATAAGGTGGGAGCATTAGAGCCTCCCATCCGAGCTTTTGGCGCTTCTGGTGCGTCACCAAAGACGTGTGTGGCCTAGCGTTGTCCTGATGGAACACAACTCGGCCTCTGTTGATCAAAGATGACCTCTTCTGGATGAGTGCTGCCTTCAAGGGGTCCATTTGTTGGTAGTAGAGGCCCGAATTGAGCGTTCGGTCTTAGGGGAGCAGCTCATAGTAGATGATTCCTTGCCAATTCCACCAAACACACAGCAAAATCTGGGGCATCTTTGGCATCGAAATTACCGGAACGGAACCTAGCAAACCACTTTTGGGCTACACGTTCGTTTCAATATCAGCCCCATAAACTAAATTAGTTTTTTCATCTGCTTTGGCTGTTTTTTCGCCTTGATCGAAGATAAATTGTAAAATTTAGCGAATTTTCTCTTTGCTGGTGTCCATCTTTGACGAGTGCTCGCAACGTACTGAGCCGATCAATCGAAAAACTGTCAAAGACAAACTTTTAGCGCGAATAAAAACGTTTTCAGCGCTGTATAGTATGACATGATGCGACACGTAACACTAGTACTATGGACAGTAGCGCCATCTCTTAGATAAAAACCGAACGGACTGTTTACTTGACCAATATTATGGCACCTTTGGATACTAGTTAGCAATTCTATTATTTATAAAAATAACAGGTTTTGAAGCTGTTACAGCAGATCTACGGGGACTCTTCCTAAAAAGCTGTTTAACGGTGATCACTGTATTTCTAAAATGAGTCATCTGAAATGAAAAAATCAAACGGATTTCGTTAAAGTAATGTGTAATCTTGTGACTAATGATAGGACTAAGCCAAAAACTATTTTTTTTTACAAAATCACTGCTTCTAAAAAAAAAAAATTTCTCCAAAATCTTGGTCTTGAATTGCGCATAAAAAAACAAACTTTTTTCGGTAATGGCAAAGCTTCGATTAAGTACTGAGAAATATTATTCAGAAACTCGTAAAAAAATTTGAGACTAATCTGTTCAATCGTTTTCGAGAAATCTTGATCAGCGACTTGAAAAACATAGTTTTGAGAAAAACGAGTCGCCACTGCGGGTTGTCGCTTTCAAATGCTCTGACGCGTTGTCACAGTTATACGAGTAACTTCCAAAATATCGGTCGGATCGACTTGAAATTTTCGGGGTATTTACTTTAATAAATAAATACACAATACGAAAATGAAATTAAAAAAAAATAAATTTTTTGAAAAATTCTAACTAGATGTAACCCCTTAAAATGGCACTGAAAAGCTTGGCAAATATTTTAGCATTTTTGGTGAGATATGAGCGTCTCCTGGAGAATTTTTTTGACACAGATGTTCCGCAACTAAGAGTGTCTCTTGGACCCGTTTGGCTCGGTGACAAGGGTGCATTATTGATAGCAGTTCTTCGGGTGAAATACCACGCTGAGATGCCCTGCAAAACAAGTCGCTTATGTTTCATCTGTTCTGGCCCCTGAACCGCGAGACCGTCTCAGTGCTTACAGGTGGATGAAGTCAAAGTTCAAAGCTCCGATTTGACTGCGAAAATCTCGCCGTTTTCCTTTGACAAAGAAGTAAGGTCAAAACACAACTTAGGACCAGTAATAAGCCTCTCCGCTGAAGAAATTTTTTTTCGAAGAATCGTCGTCCACAGCTTGTTGCTCAGTCAGATGACTACAGTTATTGTGTGAGCCAGCCTTTATATGGATGTAGGTGTATTTCCAAGTCCAAAATACGTCACAGTGTACCGTAAGAAAGTCCCAGCTATTGAGAACGTCGAGAAATTTAATTATTTGGTCTCTTTAAATTTAAAATTTTTCCAATTGCATGAGTGATAAGACAATTACGAGCACCATAACATCCTCTTGAAGCCGAAACGTGGCCACGTTTCAGTCACCATTTTCATAGTAGGTTTTCACAATTTCACCGTGTTGTGCGGTTGTTGTTGTTGGATTCGAACTTGTTTTGACAGTTGTCAAAATACAGCGTTGTACTTGTGAGACCACGAAATGGATAACCCTAACCATAAACGCGTTTATACATTGTATATAAAACCCATAAAAAAAATACAAAAAAATAATTAAAGCAAAAAATCAAATAACAAAAGAAAAATTATAAAACTGCAAAAAGATTAATGGGAATATTGACTCAGCGTCATGCACGTGGCACCCACAAATTGCCAAAAAAAAAAATTATCGTCGGTATTATGGTATGTCAGAGACTAGTTTTATATAATAAATATATATATATATATATATATATATGCTTAATGAGTAACATACATATGTATATGTGTATGTAGCAAGTTTGCAAGCATTTTCCAGTCGAAAATAGTGCTGTTTGATCAATATTTATATTTGCTATTTAATAATGTTGGCAGTTTCCTTTCTTTCTTTTTCGTGTTGCATGCGCAGTTGGGCAAAGAGTTTTTCTTTTCGGCTCAGTTGTGTTTTGACTTTTTTTTGACACTAATAAAAGTACTTTCGATGTGACCTTGACACCCGGAGATGGTCAACCCGATTACGATGGAAAAGACTGCCACTACCTCTACCTGACCATGAAGAGGTTCGACTAGCAATCGCCCGCTTAAAAGACAAAAAAAACAAAGCGGCTGGAGCTGACGGCCTACCGGCAGAGTTCTTCAAGAATGGCGGTGAAGAACTGACAAGGTGCATGTATTAGCTACTTTGCAAAATATGGTCAGACGTAAGCATGCCCGACGATTGAAATATAAATGTGTTCTGCCAAATCCATAAAAAAGGGAACCCTACAGTCTGCGCCAATTCTCGTGGTATAAGCCTCTTTAATATAGCATTTAATATCCTATCGAGGGTTTTGTGTGAAAAACTGAAGCCCACCGTTAACAAACTGATTAGACCTTATCAGTGTGACTTTAGACCTGGTAAATCAACCATTGACCAGATATTCGCGATACGGCAAATCTTGTGAAAGGTCCATGAGAAGAGTATCGACACAGACCACCTCTTCGGCAATTCTAAAGCCTCGACAGCAGCAGAATAGCAGCTGGAGGAATTTGCTATCCCCTAAACACTGATACGGCTATGTAAAATGACCTTAAGCAACACCAAAAGCTCCGCCAGGAACGGGAAGGACTTCTTCGAGCCGTTCGATACCAAACGGCTATAATCGCGTGAGAAATATCTACGCTTACATTGCAGCCGAATTAATAACAGACCGCCATTGATGGATTCTCTTCGCAGATTTGGTATCCACCTGGTCTTTCCAACGGAGTGGAGGTTTTACTTTTCCGGCTGCCACTGCATGGAAAACTTTTAAAGCTATAGTATTCTTATCAATCCCGAACACACGAGCTAGCCAGCGCAGTCGCTATTTCTTCAGCTGACAAGAGTGATGTTGCGTTTAATTTCCAGGCAGAAATTGTTGTTGGTGCTAATACTGTTTCCAAAATAGACGAAAATATTTACGACTTCAAAGTTATGACTTCCAACAGGGTCGTGGAAGCCGAGTCTGGAATGCGATGACTGTTTGTTTGAAGATAGGAGTTTTTCCCTTTACCAAGTTCAGTTCACTACCAGAGCTATACGATTCGCTTCCTTATTCAGGCTAGAGAAAGCAGAACTCACGGCACGGTTTTTAGGTCCCTTCACGAACTTTTTTAAGGGAAACCAAACACACGTCAAGAGCCGTAGAATAACAGAAATGCAGCGCCTGTAAAGCGCTCTGATTTTGGAACCCCTGTGATAGGATTGCCAAAATGAGGCTACAACCCCAAACTGATATATTTGATGATCTCCCCCTAATATTGCCCTCTTGTTAAGAGAAGATAGAGTTGAAGGCAAAGCTCTCCGTGGAAAGATATTCATATCTATACTAATGGATCTAAATGTGATACACACGCAGGGTACTTCTGTGACCTCCCTAATAAATCAATCAATGCCAATGCCTCTGTTTACCGAGCAAAGATTGTGAGCACTACAGAAGCGCCAAACGGGTGACCACTTTAATAGGAAAATCTATTAGATTTCTTGTTGGCAGCCAAGGGGAAGTTAAGGCGATTGTGAGAACATGCAAGGAGCAAAATAAACAAAACCAACTGAACTGAGTTGGGTTTAGCCGGGACAATTAGCACATTTAATGGCTTAAGTACGGTCACCCGCGATGAAGTTCTCAACCTCCATTTGCATTCATTTTTCGAAGCACCCAAACCGGTTTTGAGATTGTATAGGTAGATGTTTAGCTTTCTATAACATTGGGTCAAGATTACTCAATCCTCACCTGGAGCTTTTCGTCTGCAATAGGTAGACAGGTTTCAATGACGCTATTCAAGGGACGAGAGTTGAGGGGCGTTGAATTATTCCCAATGAATGCTGTTCAAAGTCCCCCTGTAACACATCGCATTCATTATTGACATAAATATAGCTGTATTGAATCCATGGAATCATATATGTATGTCTAATCTCCCTCTAGTGTATGGATGTGGGCTTTGCTTCAATCTGTAGGACTGATGCCTTGACTGGCACCTCATTAGATACTGCCCGTACTTAGTCAGCATCAAGAGGTGTCCTCATGGTTTGTTTAGATTCAATGACAGTTGTATACTGAGCGTAGGCGCGCAGACTTTCGAATGCCGCTCCCAGTAACTTGGGTTTATGCACCGCATGTCATCTTCGTCTGCCTCGTTTTGTATTTTTGTAAAGCAATAACTTTTTTATTTCCAGTCCCGTTACTCTCTACACTGGTGAGTCCCCCTACGAGAAGTTAAAACTTAAAAATTCTCAAAAACGTTTAGAAAAACAATATGAAAAAGATTCAAGGCGCGAGGAACGTAAATTAAACAAAATGGGAAATAAGAAGCTTAATAACAAAGAAGGAGCGAAACACAGTGATTATCAAAAGGAAAATTTCACAGATGAAGTGAACAACGAAGATATTGATTTTGAGCTACCAACGATAGCTCAACTGTCGCATGGAAAAGAGCATAAATCAGCCGATCCACTCACCTCACCCTGTACACTCTGGCATACGGATTTTAAGGAAATAAAGAAAAATAAAGATCTGCGCATTAGCGAACTCATCGCGGAACGTGATCAATTTTTGCGTGCTTGTGGCAAGAATCGTTTTTACACAAATCCAAATTTCAATCAGCCCTGGAGCGTGTTTTCGAAGTAAGCTGTGGTTGTTAGTTTTTTATGTAATTTAAATTAATTTAATTTTCTCTTTCTTAACTAGGCTCGCTAACAGACTCTCCAATGATATCATTGGCGTGATCGAGGAGGACTTCAGTGTTGGTGTCTCTAAGTTCGTGCAGGATTTTTTGGATAATGAAACAAAGATTTAGGCACTGCATTGTATCCTTTCTACGCAATTTTCTTAATTTTTTTTTTCAATTTCATATCCTTGTAGTATTGTACGTGTGTATATGTTTGTACATATATTTCTCCAATTTTTATATTTTTTTTTTCAAATTTTAGAGCAAAATCTTGGCAGTTTGTGTGATAAATAAGGAAAATAGCTGGAACTTTCGAGAAACTCTGTTAAAGGGCAGGGTAGAGGCCTTAGGTAGTTGGCTTCCATCTTTGTCCTTTAACATTAGCTCTGTTCGGAGAGAATGGCAGTAGGGAAATGTGCAAATTGTATAAATTTTACGGGCTTTTCCCATCACCAAACGTGGCTGATGATAATTTTTACTGCCCATCAGCTCACCAAATGGGGCTATAATTATCGAGAAAAAAAATTTACTGACAATATTTTAAGTAAATGCATTTTGTCAAACATCTTTTGAGCAACATATGATACATATTACTGTTTTGAACAACTTAGCATCACTGCCAAAAAAGCTCGTGTAGAAATTCGTTTACCATTCTCTATTCACTTTTTTCAAAAATTCTTTGTGTCTGTTGGGTATTAGCAATTAAATATATAGTATTAAAAATTTACTGCATTTATTTTTTTAAACTACATTAACATAAATTCTTACTTTCTTATTCACATTAAAAAAAAAATACTTTCAACAACTTCTTACTTTTGCGGCCGGGCTCTAGAACATCAGTATTCAGCTTCAGATAGATAAAAGTTCTGCATACTTTCTGTCGAGGTAATAAAATTTACTTTAGTAGTAAAAGTCGGGAAAATTTGGTTTGCAACAACAAATGAAATGCAAATATATAAACGAATATTCTTTATTTTTACTTTACCAAAGGGAAAATGTAATTTGACATGGACGAAAAAAGCAGTGCTGCCAAAGTTTTTTCAAACATTGTGACCAGTTCGCCAGAATATCAAATTCAAATTCGGTCCTTTTTTCGTCCTTGTCAAATTACATTTTCCCTTTGGTAAAGTAAAAATGAAGAATATTCACATCGAAATGGAAGAAGGTGCACAACAAAATAAATAAGTTTTATTATTTGTTTATTAAATCATAATTATTTGAACCTAATTTTGGAAAATATGCCTGGACAACAAAAAACAGCTGAATGAAAATGTTATCTTCCAAATTAAAGGGTTATTTTTGGTCTCGAAAACTTATTAAAATACGGCTTTTTGCACTTTTTTCTTCATCTTCAATGAATTACAGGTCTAAAATTATCATACCCATTTGGATTTTTATTTTTTCTCAAACTTCCAGCACAAAATCAAACGGCAGATATTTTTGTTACCTCCCATTTCACTGGAAACAAAATTTACACGGTGACAGTGAACTCAGAATACGAAATTGTAACAAAATTTACCGAATGGTACATTTTAATATCGAAGTAAATTTTTTTACCTCGACAGAATAGGCCTGTTAAGGTCTATTGTGACGTCCGCATTTATTCAATTTTTCCGTGCAACCCTATTAGGAATCCCATGACACAAAAAGGGTTCACGTATGCAAGGCAATTTATCTCGGTATGTAAAGTCCATCTCTTAGGTACAGTCCCAAAAATGTTTTTAGTAAATCTACATATGTTGCGCTTTGACGTTGCAGGAAAATGTAATCGAAGCTTACGCCGAATATATGCATTTGGAAACATAATCTGCAGTGCCCAGTGTACACATAAAAATGTCATGTTATTCTCTCGTTATCTTAACTCGCCCTTTTTCTTGTTGTATTTGCCCATCTAGACCATGTAAGACTTTTTTTTAATTGCAGCTTGGGTCACACTACTTTTTACTATGTGTTGATTCTTCATATTTTATTTGTCTTTAGCTCTGCTCATAACTTCACGCTACCATGAAGGCGTTGTATTTCTTTTCAAAATTAGGGAGGGATGTTTTTTCGATTTGATCTCATATTTTGCTGGAGATAATCTTATGATGCCCATAAATAGAACTACCTGTAATATATACGTTAATGGGTGTGGCTTGGAATATTTAAGTGATTTCAAGTTTTTAAAATGGGTATATTTCAAAAAATACTGAACCGATTTCTTTAATGCTGACTGGTAAATAATGGTCAGGTAATTATAACACCTTTAATTGATATGCATACGTGTATATTTATACTCAAAATTACTAAACAAAAAGATGAAAATTAAACAAAATATGGTTTTTTTTTATAAAAAAAAATTTGTTTTCTTAAAAATGTGCTTTATTAAACTTATTTAAAAATTAATTAATTGAGTACAGGATTAAATTACGTTTCATTTGATATATAAGAATTATCTGTTCATATTATATTTTATTTCAATTGGTAATAAAAAAAAAATACTTAAGAGTACTGTGGAGGGCGAAGTCGGTGTTGGTTCGGCCCAAGGTTACAGTCTAAAGTGCGGCAAAAGTCCCTACCACAAAGGGGTTTGAATTAAAAATGCTGTGCAAGGTGAAACGAGTAAAAATATATACATATGTATGTATCTTTTAAAAGGTAGCTTAAATATTACATATGTATGTATCTTTTAATAGGTAGCTTAAATATTTACAAGTTATACATTAAATTGAAGATAATTTTTCATTCAATTATTCCACTTCTAAGTTAAAGTTTTTTTTATAAAAAAAATACTTTGTTTTAAGTTTTTCTCTTGTTAAAAATATGGAATAAATATATACATATATAGATACCAAATCAAAAGTGTTTTAATTACAGCGGCACCACTATCATGAAAATCGGTTTAGTAATTTTTGAAACATGTGCATTTTGAAAATTTAGAATTTTCCCTATATCCACCGCTTGGCGCCCAAAATATCCATTTGCACGAGAAATGTTATAAACCATTGAATTCGTGAAGAAGGGGGAACACCGTCCACCAATTAATTGTTCCCTGTGCGAGGAGTCGGTATTCTCAACTTTTTCCTTACTTTAGAGCCCTGAGAGTGTAGTTTTTGGGGTGTTTGTTTGCTTTCGACGCTAATGCTCCGTATAGCTATAATATCTACATATATAATTTCTTTGAAATGCACAGGTGTAGTTGTAGTGGTTATCTTTAATTTGAATTCAAATAGACATTCACAGAAGCACGACAAACATAGCGGCTACTATTTCAAGGTAACGGAAATAGAAAGGAAGCCGGGCTGCAATTGACGAGATGGAAACAAAATCAAAAGAAGTGTCAGAATTTACAAGGTTGCCAACTTATTAAATTTTGTTTGAAACGAGTTTAAGAATATGAGGTAATTAAACCATCATAAAAAATCGTTGATTACAATAAATTTTAAATATATATTTTGTAACGATTTTGGCTACACACGCCTCGATGGTTCCCCAAATCCTTCCAGTTGGATCACTGGATTTTTAAATAGAAGTCCCAAATTGCTTGTCTACTTTCTCATTTGTAAAGGATTTAATCAACGAACTTTATTATTGTGTAAATAACAATTTTGATTAACTATTTCACTTTAAACACACATTTGCTTGTGTTTTCAAAACCGAGTTCCAAACTCAACTGAACTTGACAGCAATGCGCGCTTGACTTTTATATTCCAAGATTGCTTTTTCACCAAAAACAAAATAAGTGACTTTTAAAAAATAGGACACAAGCAGAGTGTCCATAAAAGGAACTATTAAACTTGTTTAGTATCCCTATACCCAGCCCGACGAGGTTTGCAACCGTGGTAACACCTCCTTGCTTAATCCACCTTTTCTAACCAATGATTACAGCTTCATTGTACACAAACATTAAGGGCTGCATTATTTTTCATTAGGTCTGGCAACCAAGCATTATTCTTGTGCCGCTTTCAATCTATTGGCAAGCGCATTTTTCAGGAATTGGGAAATATTTGCATTTTTTGTTTTCAAATAGATATCTAAATGCAAAGTTTTGTTTATTATAAATTAGTTTTGAATTTCATCAAATGAAATGTGTTGTGTGTAAGGAGTTTAATTATTAACGATATTTATCCAAAATAAATATGGATACAATCATTTTGCATTCAGACATTGCTCGGCTTGTGCTAGGTAAGTTTTTTTCTATCGTGCAGCTGGTGTCTGTGATGCTATGCGAATTTTTTGACTGTGCTCAAACAATAATTTCCCTCCATATTATATTAGGCTACTTGAAGCGACAAAATTTAGAACGCACATCTCGGCTATTTTGTAAGACTTCACCACATCTAAAACAGTATTTTACAGCGTACAGAAAAGGTCTAACGCCACATAGTTTTTGCCCAGATTTAGAAGAAATAATCTGTGAATATGTAAATATTACAGAAACCGGTAAGTACTGTACTCCAAAATTTTGACAAAAAAAATGAATAAATTATAATTCACAACTAATGTTTATAGTTGATAACATTGTCGCATCATTATCGAGTAAACAACGTTTTGAATTATTTGAACTGAAGCTGTCAAATAAAGTCAAGCTGCTGCTCGAACGTGCATTACACAAGAATTCCCAGCCTCACTCAAACGAAAGTCTATCACAAAATAAAAATGATGCAGGGGCCAGTACAACACGCCATTCTGATAAGGAAAATACGACTAAAAATCAAAATAAACAAAAGAGGAAACGGTTAGTTCTTAACTTTTATGCGAGTATAGTAGATTTATACCTTTTCTTTTAGTGCTACACTGGCATACTCTTCCGATGATCAACAAATTTCCAGCTTTTCTGCTAAAAAAATTTGTAAAAGACGTCGCACCCTGGAACCTTTTCTTTTCGTCAGCCCAAAAGAATGCAACCATAGAATTTTCCTAACAGCTTCAACTGGAGATGATCAAACGCCGACAGATGATGAAAATGAAGTAGAAGATACGCTGGATGATGACAGTAATGATAATGAAAACGGGCCGCTAAATGAGACTGACATTTCGCATATGGAAAAGCCGACTAAAGAATCAACGCCGCTTAATAGGTCTGATAAACGAAAATTTTCAACGCCATCTGTGCCGGTAAAATATAATATAATTTTCATATGATCATATTAAGTGAATTTAAATTTTTGTATAATTTTTAGGAGCTTTCCCAGGCAATTTTGAGCAATCCTCAGTTTCAAATGAAACTGGTGGATAATATTAATCAAGCACTCAATACCGCCAGCACACAGTCAGCCACTGAAACAGCAAGCAACAAAGTAACGAACGTTAATATACCAACTGAGAATGGCAACATTTCAGAGGAACAACAAATTATTAATTCCAATGAAATGTTGGATCAAATGGTTAAAGATATTTTACAGGCCACAGAGGAGGATCCCGCTTTCGATGATATTATCGAAAATGTTGTCGGTGGTAGGTTTTAATAAAATTCATAATTTTTTAAGTTACTAACAACTACATTTACTTCCGCGCAAAAGCAACCAAACATCCTACCAATGTATCGGCTGGCGTACAATGTAATATAAATACAAATGCGCCACAAACTGTATTTACCATGCCAACTGTTTCCGCTGTTGTTGGTCAGCAACATCAACAATTTACTTTTGTGCAACAGCAACAAACACTACAACAGCAGCCACAGCAGTTAACTATACCATGTATATCAGCGGTAACACAACAATCGACTGATCAAGCAACAGCACCACGTACCCCACTTATTATACGCACGGCGGTAGCGACCGGAAATACTTCATTGACCAACGCGGCCAATGAGGGACAAGTTATATCTACACTTACAGCTAATAATTCTTTCAGTTCACTAATTGATCCGAATTTTTCAATATCGAAATTGATAGTCTTAAATCCAAATGAAAGTGCACAGAAACAACAACACTCTGCCGATCACGGGATTGGCAATAACACTGCTGATACTACAATAACCCAACTCGCTAATGGCGCAAATCCCACAGGAGACGAGCAGGTACTAATGTAATAAGAATTATAATTATTCGCCATATATATGAATATGTTTTCTATATAGATATTCTATGATGTCAACAATGCCCAATTAACTTTTCCGATGTTCCTAACCGATGATGGTTTACTTACACATTTTCCATTCCTTGTCAACAACGAAACGATAACTCAACAACTGCGTGCCGAAAACATTAATAATTTAGATGCGCCTATGGAAATACCACTATCCGAACCTATTATGTTTTCAGCAGGCCAATTGCCGCCAAATACCGTTATTCGTACAAGCACACAGAAAGCTGTAACAGCAGAAGATCAACGTTTGCCAGGCGTGCTGGCGCCAACCACTGTTTGCAAGAAGCAAAAAGATGCACTGGCGCCCACTTCATTAAATGTGCGTTCAACTCAAGATGAGACACCTTCGACAAGTGGTATAGTCAATACGAAAGCATTTAAAAGCCTTTCAACGCCACGGAAGCGTACCTCACATGTGCGTACGCTTTCATTTTCACCAAAGGCCAGTGCTACCACACGTCATGAACGCAAAAAAGAGCCTGTAGTACGTCCTACTGCAATCGCCGAGGAAGATAATGTGTTAGAAAACTCTGATGATGTATCAGAGAGACCGATAATAAAAAATGTTGAAATACTGCCTTGTTTAGGTGGTACAATAGATGAAAGCAGCAACAGCTGCAGCGTGCCACCTCTTTTTGTAACGGAGGAAAGTAGCAATCAGACTGTAATTAAAACAGAATTATCTCATAGAGAGAATAGAGAGATAGAAAGTAAAATTGCCAAGACGGCAGTGCCTTCGTCAAATAGTTTCTCTGACACGCCCAAACGCAAACAAGTGCGCAAAACCGCTGTACGCGCTTGCAAACGCCAACTTTCCAAGTCTTCAGATGAGTGTGACAGCAAAGTGAAGTCAACGACACAACCGGAAAATATTGATCCGAAGAAAAGGGGTTCTGAATGTGAGCCAGCGAGCAAAGATCCGAAGGCAGCTAAATTGGCCGATGATAAAATGATGGAGGAATGGCAGCGTCTTCGCAATGCCAGTGCCAAGGACTTCGATTTACGCTTGCGGCAACTTAATGCCGAACTAAACGACACATTAACAAAACCGCCACGAAGACGGAAGAATGCGCCAGGAATCAAAAGAAATTTGCGTCGAAGGAAATCTGCAATTTCACGTCGGAAGCGTAAAAAGGCACGAGATGAGGCATACAAAAGTGTTTTAGAAGCTGAGGCAGAGGCAGAGGCTACTGACAACAAAACAGATGAGAGGAGCGGGCAAATACCACAGACAGAAACAATAATCAAAGAGAAAACACTCAAGCGTTTAAGTAAAGATAAGTCCAAAGAATTTAATATAAAGATACCAACACCACAAAAAGATAAGCGCGAATCAGTGGCAAAGGTGAATAATGAAAGTGATGCTGGTGCAAATGTTGAATTCAACGAAAATACCGCAACGATGGTTGTTGATGCTAACAACGCACAGCCCATTTTTGAAACGGAGAACAATCCGACTTTGCATAAAAGTGAGGAGCATGAACGGGATCGACGCACAGCAAATATTGCCTGCTTGCTGGACACACCCTTTAAGGAGCCCACAATAAACGAGTTGCCACCTACGCCCGGCATGCCAATGCACGCTTTAGATACGCCTGCAAGCAAGCTTCGTACCAGCGGTGGGGAAATGCAGCTCTCAACCTCTTACCTCTTTGGCTCGCTGACGAAGAGTGAACAAGAGACCCCACTACTTAGCGCATTAACACCGGGATTTCGCTTTACGCCGTTCGGTCTTAGCCGTGATGCAACGCCTCGTAGTTTGGCACCCGGTACAGACTATTCCTCCGGTGGTTCCTACTACAAGCCTGATGAATCCGAAGATTTAGATCGTAATTTCGATAAACTTTTACGAGATTCAGCACAAAAACAAAAGCAGGTGCAAGAGGAAGAGGAGGAGCGTGCAAAAATGCTTGATCAAAATACCAAGGTTGTGGAGGTTAAAAACGCACTATTTGCAGAAGAGCCAAAAGTACAGACGGAACAACCCAGCTTTGAACAAACAGAAGAGGCAGCCATTTGTGTTGAAATACCCGTTGAGAAACTACGTGTGGAACCCATTGTATTGAAGCGAGTCAAGTCATTCGGCGCCGAAAGTACGGAGAATACTGAGGGAGGGAGTACAGCTCCGACTAATATCGATCCACATTATACACTCGTCTCTGAATTGCCTGAAATATGTGCTCAAGGTGAGTCGTCCAATTCGTCCAGCACTTATTCCACTACTTCCTCTTCCTCATCGAACGGTTCATCCACAAGTTCCTCGTCATCCACTTCGAGTGCGACATCATCAGAAAAAAAGGCTACGCCATCGGAATTAGGAGATCAACGGAAATCAAGCGAAAACTTGAGATTATCACTAGACAATCTCTCAGTCATAAGTAGCACGGAGGATGAGGAGTGGCAAAAGTTAGCCGTTACAGAAGAAGAAAACTCACAGTTGGTCAGTAATGATGGTGAGGTGCGCTATCCAGTACGCAGTTGGTTAACACCAAGTAAAAATAATTCTCAAAGTACAGACGAAATCCACGAGCGCGGACCAGCAGCAACGATCAAAGTAACTGTTCCATTAAAATCCGCTGAGAAGAAGAATCGCTTGGAGGACGATCTACAACAGAAACGCGAACGCGTGATGGAAAAATTGAAGGAGGAAGCGATTCAGCAACGAGAACGGCTATCAAAGGCGCCCATTACGTCGAAGAGTGTCATGACAGCAGCGAAAACCTCACGGCGGTTGACTTCGATGAGAGAGAGAGCGAAGATTCTGCCCGCTAAAGCAACAATGCCGCCCACTATTGAAACTTTAACACAGACTCAGGTGCACGAAACACCTGTTAAAGCCAAGCCGCCAGCTGAAGCAGTAGAAAAACGCAGCTTGGCAGTGCTCACTGCGCTACAATTGTCCGTCAAAAAACAACCGCCTGCTCAACTGACGACTGCTGTTGATGAACGCAAAGTATGTGCACCAGCAGTGGCGCCGCCAATAGCAGCATTGGACGACAATGCAACCTCCATAATTTTTACTAGCAGCACAAGAACAACAACAGCATATGAGTTTACAGAGAAAACCGAACATTTGCCGTTGGATAAGCTGATTTCAAAAGCGAAAGTCAAGCAAAGACAATGCGTGCAAATCGATGCGCTGCCGGTTGTGAAAGCTTCACGATCCATAAACGTTGGGCGCAAGAAAATTGTGCGTAAGCCGCTCGGTTTCAAGGGTACACTTGCGTCGGATATTCCCGTCGTAGTTGAGGAGTTGGAGGAAGTAAAATTGCCGGGTAAAGCGTCAATGAGGAGCGCTGTGAAATCAGATGAGGAAGCCGAAAAGGACGCTGGTGATGGTCCGGTGCCGAGAATAAAAATTAAAACACCAACTGGACGAAACACAGTTCCCGCAAGCAAGTTACGCGTTTCGCCGCGTCTGCAAGGCAAGAAAAAGTTGAAGAAATTAAATGATAGCGACGAAGAGGAGGATGAAGATGTGCCAGCACCGAAGGCTGTAAAACCAGCGAGAATTGTGAAGACGCGCTCAAGAACAGCTAAGAATTTGGTAGCAACGGCCGTAAAAACAGCACTTTCGAGGCGCAAAAGAGTAACAAAAACTAAAACGACAGCGCAGACGGACGAAATGACAGCCGACAAAGACGACGACGACCACGAAGACGAGCGAAAAGAGCGCAACATGAAGCAAGGAAGTGACGATATGCCCAAAAATATACAGTCGAAGGAAAGATTGCAGCCCGATATTGAGAAACCTTGCTGCTCGAAAGATGTTAAGAAACTTGAGCGCGAGAAAGCTAAAAATAAGACGGAATTTGGCATAAATAAAGAAGAGAAAAAATTGAGCAAAACACAAAAGGTCTCAACTAAAACAACTACAGATTCGAAAAAACTGACCAAAAATCTAAAGACTAATGCTAAAGTAAAGATAACTGACGAAGACTTAGAATCAACTCAAGTGACGAAAGCAAAGGACATGATGTTAACTAAACCCGAAAAACTGGTGTCGAAGGAGACTGTGCATTCGGAAGAAATAAACCAGAGTAAAGATCAAAACGAAAAGGTAACTAAAGAGAAAGATGATGAATCTCCAACCACATCGAGTGCGAGTAGAGCTGTGGGCATAACAGACATGCAAGCGAGAACAAGTGAAAACAAAATTGACGATGAAACGGATGGAAGAAATTTAAATTCGAATGAAGTCATTGAAAATCTACCACTTAAACCAACTGAGAAGAATAATGCGAAGGAAGAAAAGAACAAGTCTCAGACGCATACTAAATCTAAAGTCGAAACGAAAGCTTCGCCCACATCCACAACAAACACGGAGCCCACTCCAACAGAGTCCTCCGAAGACGATCCTTTGGAGGGTTGTGAACTCACCACGGTGACCGAAGACGACCCTATACGTTTTATATCCGTCACATATAATGGTCCTGACTCCTCACCGCCAAATCCCTTGCCACGACGTGATTTTTCAAATTTCAAAATGGTTGTGGCTTTCGATGAGGATGAAAAACACGTTTGGCGCGTCAGTGACGAACTCATGCTTTTTAACGCCTCACCTGCAACACAACCAATACGAAATATACCAAAAAAGCGTAAGGTTCGTATAAATACATGCAGCAGTGAACAAGATGATGCAGCCACAGTGGGCATTGTGCACAGTACAACGACCACCATAAAGGCCACCAACTCGGCAAAGGCAAGCGCAACAGTCGTCAGCAGCAGTGAGCGCACAAATCAAGCGGTTAATGTCAGAGCGAATGAGTTGGAACCATCAGCGACTTCTACACCAATATCAGCGCCAGCTACTAGCAGTACACAAGAGCCCAGAAGACGAACATCGTAAGTAGCTCATCGCAGTTATATTTGTGCTTCATACAATTTTTAATGCTCATAACTTTTTAGTAGGCAAACAGCGAAAGTTGTCGAAGATGACGAAGTACCGAGTAACTCTACTGAGCCGACACCTTCAACACAGCCAACTACGCAGAGCTCAGCCGGCTCTAGCGCAGTGCTCCAAATAGATGATATTGAATCACTTCTTTCTCGCTTACACGGCAAGGAAGACTAAATTCATATTTCATATTACCGTTAATTCTCCAAATCTCAATTTACCATAAGCATAAATACATTTAAATAGATAAGCACATTATTGTACATACAATGGTATGTATGGGTATGAATATGTATTTAAGAAATTAGTATTCGCAATAATAATAGTTAACTCTACTTTAGCTTTTTTTAATTTAAAGTATTATGTGACTACGCACTTAAATTTCTATTCTTATTTACGTCTCTGTGGTGTGTTTAAATTGCAATGCACCTAAATGAGAAAAATAAAAAAAACACTTGAAATTACAATTGAGGTTCTCGACGGCAAGCCTGTTTTATAAATTGTGGCTTCAATTTCATGGCAGCTTCGTGCTTTGTTAGAAATGGGCTGTAAATGTATTTTGAACCCTTGGCCAATTAGTTCTAGTTGCCCTTGAGCCGATATTACCATGCTTAAATAGGCGCTGATTTAATTAGCTGTATGAAGTATATGGTCTTCAGTAGGCTTCTCTACCTCCTGTTCGCCCTGATCTGTTCAGCGGAGTGGAACTTTTCCTTTTCCAATACAGGATACTGCATCGAGTACCTTCAAAGCTGGAGCGAACTCAACCATCCGTACTATATGATCCAGCCAGCTGTTATCGTTTCCATCTACATTTGCAAAATGCAACATCTTCCGCAATCGAACTTAAGGATGAGAAATGTGTACGATTGGAAAGTAGCGTTATCCTGAGGCAACTCACAACACCTTAAATTAAATCAGACTATAACCTCCGCGGTTAATCTTCAATCGGTTTCAGATGAGGATACTCTGTAGAAGTGTACCAAGAAGAGGTACCGTAAAGTAGGATGATGCTCAAACTACATGAAGGAGATTAAATTAATGTGAATAAAATTTTGGAATATTACTTAGAACCTGAAACCTCTCCTGTGGTACAGCCAAGTCATGAGCTTCACTAAATTTCAACAGGAATAACGTCAAGTGGTCGCTGGAAAGACAAATCTGTAGATCCATTTGTCACGAGCGAATAAGCTTACAATAGATAATGGGGAAAATCAATTAAAAGTTGGGACTAAAAATATTTATATCCCCCAAACAATAGCTGGTAACATTTCCTGTGCAGTCTTCCCAATAATTCATAAACAAGAACTAAGTGGTTAGAAAGCTGCTTTATTATACCCAAAGTTTTGTGAGAATGTTGGCGAAGTGACAGTCCTTGACCGGTTAAAAATCTGAGTGCTTTCGATATAAAAACCAAACTGTCGCGGGAACTATTGGATTTTAGTCTCCTTTAACGACAGACGTTCCCGACCACAAGTAAATTCTTTCACCCCAGAGAAGTTTACACAGGAAAGCTTTAAATGCGCACTTAAAATATTTTATTTTCAAGTAGGGAATATATGGAAAAATGAAACCTTCTGTTGAATATATCAAAACTGTTTTATTCTTTTGAGTCTGTTGTCGACGGGTCGTTGGAATAAAGTTATAATTTTTGAACATTGAATTCTTGCCCAAGCCAAGACCGAAAAGCTCGTTGCTGACGAGTCTTTGTACAACTTTTGCCCCAGACGATATTTGTTCGTCCTATTGCTCGGTAACCAGGTGTGTTAGAAGAGGTTTGTTGCATAGTGCAGCCTGACTCACCACCTATCCAACGGTATGCATATCATGCTGGTCCGCGTATATAAACTTAAAATATTTCGATAAACGCAAAAAAGTGGAAAATCGGTTTTTCTCAGTTTTTGCCCTACTGCTCCGTTCCCGGGCGTCATATAAAAGCGTGGTTTGTTGTATAGTGTAGCTGGACTCTCCACCTATCCGACGGTATATTAACTGTTATCTTCCACTCATGCTGTATACGTTTTTTTATGATTAAAAAAATGTTAAATAGTACACAATCGTTTTTCCGCCCATAGCTCCGTTCCCGGCCTCAATGTTTTGCCAAGAAATGCTACAAATTAAGTCCAAACGAACAGTGCTATCCAAACTGTCAAATGCCAGTTCAGTACTGTTAATTAACGACTCTATACTCTGATAATTAAGTTGATTCAATATTTTTTGTTTAATTGACATTAAAATTTTGCGTAATTGAACCCATCATTTAAGAGTTGATAATATTTTTTAACTTGTACAAGTTTTTGAAATATTAAATTGTTATTAATTTTATGTCATCTAAAAATATGGCAGCACGCAACGGCTGTCAAATTCCCTTGCATTGTTGATAGCTTTGACAGGACGCAAGGAAACCGCAGTAGTTGTCACCTTCCAGATCTGTGGACAAATAAATATCCAACAACCTCGGATGAGTGAAGTAATCTCCTACAAAAACACGGAGGAGCAACCAAATTATTTAATTCTAATTGAAATGTGAAGTGAGAAAAATCTGTGAATCTATTGTTTTTGTCAAATAATCACTAGTTTCTGTGTATGTCAAAAAGTGACCGTCCTTAGCTGAAAGTGAAAATAAAATTCCAACACCAATTAGGCTACCGACAGTAGTGGAGGAATTCGTCGCTAGCGTCATCAAAGTTGTTCTAAATTCGAAGTCTGTGAAGCACGCCCAAAAACAAAAAGCACCATATCCACATATTACTTCTAGCAAGTAAATTTATTTTAACTAAAAATCGTAAAAATAAAACGAAAATACGAATCTCTACAAGAGTGGCAACAAATGTGTGCATCAATGTGAAATTCCATACTTTTACTACATTCAAATTATTATTAATTAAATGAAATGTACAAATGTGTGATGTTGTGTGTGTGTGCAAGTAAATATTGTTATTGCTATAGAAAATAGGAATAAAGCAATTATTGTTTACGTGATGATTTGCTGAAAGAGTAGTCAAGACCGTGCAATTTTTCCATAGTGTACAACCGCGTGTATTTTTGTGCGTCCATATGCATTTATGTATACATGTGTTTACATTTAATAAATGCTAATGTGCTCATATGGTTGGTTGTCAATGCGTCTGGGGCGCTTAAAAAGAGTATAAGATTTGTGTGGAACACATATGTATGTATGGAATGTACATAGCTCTGCAATAAAATAATTTTAAATATATGTATACATACATACAATCTCCTTATGTATATTCAAATATATAAAATCAATCAATCTTTTCCTTCATGCTAACTAAATCGTACAAATATAATTTTAAATTCCAACGCACAGTTGTAAACAAAAACAAAAACCAACAAGCCAAACAAAGAAATAAGTAATCTCTAAACTTTGCTTAAGAAAAATTGGTGTCACATAAAGAAAATACAGAACTTTTAATTTCCTTTGGATTCGCACTACAATATGGCCATGGCAAACAGCAGCGTTCTGAGTGGCAGTGTTGGTGCTTTAGGAGCTGCCATTGGTGGTGGTGGTGGTGTTAGCGGAGCTGCTGGTGCTGGCGTCGGCGTTGGCAACAGTGATTTGTGGCGTGAGTGTGTTGCATGGTTAACGCGTTGCAAAATCATACCACCGGATCACAAAGCCAATTGGGCGGATTCAGAAATACGTGTCCTTGCTTTGACATTACGAGATGGTGTTTTGCTCTGTAATTTGGTAATTTATTTGGATGCCAACAGCATGGATCCACGCGATTTTAATCGCAAGCCGCAAATGGCACAGGTGAGTGGTTGTTGTTGCTATTTTTTGGTGTGTTCTTTATTGTTATAATGTTATAATCTTAATACCAATAATAAAAATTGATGACAATATTTTCAAGGTTATGCCAACTTCATTGTATCCATAGACGTGTCTACGCTTATATGTCCTTATGTACATATGTACAAATATATGTTTGTATATATATGCATATGTATGCACAAGCATATGGCGCCAATTTCCAAGGCAAGGCCAAACATTTCTTTGCTGATTGTTTGCTCTTCGAGATACATAAAATGTATGTATGTATAATTGTATGCATCTTTGCGATTCTGTGCCCAGCTGACCATAAGATAACAAATAACTTTCTTTTTTTTTCTCCTTATAATCTGGTTATTTGTGCGGCACAATTTTCTTATTTATAGAATGTTTGCGACAGTGGCTTGGTTGTATGTAAAAGTTCATGAGTGGCTACATACATACATATGTATGCAAATATGTATATATTATGTACTCTCTCTGTTGTCTATTATGTGCTACTTATATGCACACATACATATATGCCGCTTGACTATGCTGATAGCGAGCGCCAGCAGGTCCAATAGCGCCTATCATAGAAGCGGGTGTCACTAACTGCTTACTAAATGACTGATAACGGGAAGAGTAATCGGTTGACAAATCGCTTATTAGAAGCTATCTCTTAACTATGAGATACATACTGTCTAATATAAATGTTTTTGACACAGATATCGAAATAAAGAGGTAAACTTTGTAGTATGTGGTAACCAGAGAGTAGAGATAACTTAATGGAATGCCAACAAAAAAACGCTTATAAAGTTATTTTTTCTTCTTTTTTTTAAATTTTAAGAAAATAAACAAATAAATTATTAAAATTTTTTTTTTTTAATTTTCCGAAGTTAAAAAAACCAACACTGCTTTGCGTTTTATATCAGGTGTACAACTTTGCTTCCGCCGTTTTTTCCAAAATTAAAGTCTCTATTGCCAAAAAATTCTTCGAAGGATTGAAAATGTTGATCTGCCAGGCCGTGTGCCATCGAACGGAATAGGTGGAAGTCAGAAGGGGCGACATCTGGGGAATACGACGGGTGGGGCAAGACTTCCCATTTCAGCGTTTCCAGGTACTTTTTGATCACTTTTGCTAGATGTCCCTCGGTTTCAACTCGTACGGCACCCAGTTTCCTTCTTTCTGAATCATGCCCAAGGCCTTGAGACGTTTTGAAATGGCTTGCTGACCCCACTCCCAACGATTCGGCAAGCTGTTCTTGGGTTTGGCACGAATCTTCATCAATCAATGCTTCAAGTTGTTCAACTTTGAAGGTTTTTTCTCTTCCAACATCATGTTTGTTTTCGACATCGAAATCACCATTTTTAAAACGCTGAAACCACTCCCGACACGTTCTTTCACTCAGACCAGCATCACCGTAAGTTTCAGAGAGCATTCAATGCGCTTCAGCTGCATTTTTTTTTTTCGAATTGTAACAGAAAAGTAAAACTTCCCGCAAATGGCGAGAATTAGGCACATAAACGGACATTTTCGAGCGTGAATAATACGAAAACAAGAACAACTGTCATTGAAACGGCGATGCTCACTGTCCACACTCACTTTAAAGGCATTATCATCTATGTATTTCAACCAGCCTCAGCCGGAACAGCCACCTATCGGAAAACGGTGGAAGCAAAGTTGTATACCTAATATATTTAACGATATATTAATTTTTACAAATATATTTCTTCAGCCCACAGCTATCAACGCATCACTAGGAGTCACAATATTTGAATTTTATATTTATTTATTATTTTTTTATATTTTTTTTTATTATATTTTTATTTTTTTTATTTTTTTATTATATTTTTATTTTTATTTTTTTTAATATATGTTTTTATATATTTTCATTTTTCTCATTATATTTTTGTTTAATTTTTAAAATTGTTTGCTGCTTGAATTTATCTCTTAAATCCTAGCATTCTCGCCTTAATTTTTTAGGACTTCACCCAGTACATTTCATATTGATAACTACTACAAGCCATTATATTGTATATACTTGCATATATGCATACATCTGAAGGTACATAGACTTTTGTTTTAAAGTTATTAGAAATCATGACATTTTAAAGACGAATTTTCATAATAAATATAAACATACATTTGTATGTATGTATGTATGTCTGTATAAAAGTTTCTAATGAATGCATAGTGTGAATGAAGCATTGAAGTGCCAACAACAATTAGAATAATCTAAAACCTTTAGTATTTTTGTTGTCATTATCTACAGATATTATTATACGCCATGCCTTTCACAATTTGTATGTATGTACGTGTATGCATGTATCATTAACTTCCTTCCGCTTATCATACCATTCAGATCGTTTAGTAGTGTCAGCTGGAATGGTGTAAAGAGCAGGCGGTGTTTGTTTGTTTTTATTATTAATTGTTATTATTGGTGTGCAATATACATTTACATACATATGTATACACCCTTATATATAATTGTGGCTATATTGCAGATATTATTTTATTATAATTGTTTTTTTTGTGTTTTATTGTTGAGTGACTTGACTATTTTATTGTTGCTTATTTTATTTATACATAATTGCTGTCACTGCAGTGCGTGCTTGTTATTATTGTTGCCTAACACACGCTTTGCTGACTTTCTTTTTATTTTTATAATATTTTTTTACTGTTTGCTATCAGTTTTTCCATGGAATACGTTAATATGTTATTGTTGAGCATCCATTAAATTATACATCTGCACATACAAATGTATGTGTGTACGCATATATATGTACGTATTTATGGTAAGTTCGTGTGCACCCATCCACTTGGGTCACACTTGGGAGGGTTGTGGAGCTGCATGCATATGTACATATGTATTTTGAATAAGCTTTGTGGTTAAAAAATATGTGAAAAAAAATCAAAACTGTTTTTTGAAGTTCTCATTTAGTTTATTATATATTTATTAAATATTGAAAAAAAAAATCGTAATTAAAATAAAAATATCGCTTATCGTGCCAATGTGATGAAATTTTAAAAAATTAATTAAATATTTTCAGAAAGTAAGGATAGAAAATCCTTGCTTCTAAACAGTTTAAAAAATACATGTTTTTTTTTTACAAAATTAATTAATTAATTTAATCAACAAAATGTTTACCCTAACCACCCTGCTAAGGAAAATTTCAAGTCAACCAGCAGTGCAATTCTGTAACTTTTATCGACACGATTTGTCGGATCGCAAAGTTACGAATTTTTTCGCTTGCGCTAACGATTATGCGATTCTCTAACGCAGTTGTTACGATAATCGACATCGCACATTTCCATTTTATTAAAATGTAGGAAAGGTGGCACCACAGCTCAACGAAACGTCAAAATGTACGAAAAGCACAAAGAGGAATGACAAAAACAAATAAATTTGTTATTGAAATTATTTTAATTAAAAGAATAGCAATGCATTACAAAGTTTTTCAATAGCATGTTATGGTTTGCACTTTCATGCATGACTCTTCGCTCTATAGGGGAGCTCCAAATAAAATAATTGTGCCGCGCTCTTGGGTACTTGGCATTTGCCAGTATAATCTTGCGATAAGGACCATATATCTATGTGAAAATATAATTAACTTTGTTATTACAATAGTAATCGGAAACAAATTTACTCTCACCATTTGCACATTGATGGAGTGGTATCCATGGTGGTTTATATACGCTTCTTCATGGTTTTTAACTCATGTGCAATCGATAGCTCCAATAGTGCCTCCAACATATGGTGACGATGACGAAGCAAAAATTTGGAAAACTAAGAGAAAACCTTGAACGGTTGATTGCGTCTGTTACGCGATGAACACAACGGTTTACTGACGACTGACTCATGGACATGCCCATTGCAAAAAATCGCGAGGCGGGTAGAACCTTTAAACATTATAATAGTGTTAAGACTAAAAAAAATATTGAAAATATATATTATTACCTGTTTCTCCGTAGACAATGCTGTTATTCTTCTTCCTTTTAGTTGGCAATCTAGTTCAGAAACGATTTCTTCAACTAAATCCGGCGAAACTCGGTAGCATCCAAATGAAAAGGATCTTCCGCTTCTCGACGCAAACTTCTATTCAATGATGAAGATTAGGATACCTCGTCATATTGTGATAAAACGTATGCCAAATATTCAAAACCATTTCTTTTATTTTTTTATTTTTATTTTTGTATAACTTTGACAATTTCCCGGACACTTTACTCTCTTAAATGAAATAACAAAATTTTGTCGATATCGCTAACAACTTAAAAATATTTGTCGCTTAGTTGGCGATTTTTCGAGTAGTTTACGACAATAGCGAGAGCGAATATCGTTATAACAAGTACACCGAATATTAAAATCGTTAGAATTATCGCAAAGTCTTCTTTGCGATCCGAAAATCGTTATACTAGTCTTAGAGAATAGCGAATATCGTTAAAAATATCGTTAAGTCTTCTTTGCGATCCGAAAATCGTTATACCATTTTAGAGAATAGCGATTATCGTTAAAAATATCGCTAAGTCTAATTTGCGATCCGAAAATCGTTATACTGTGCTTAGAGAATAGCAAAATCGTTAAAATTATCGTTAAGTCATTATAACGATCCGAAAATCGTTATAATACGATAGAGAATTGCCCTGCAGCTTTGGCACTGCGCGAAACTTATGGGGTAAAGCCGCACTAAGATTTTGGAAAACGCAATTTTTTTGCCTTTGGATCCTAGAAATTTTATGCAATTGGTTTTAAAGATAAAAAAAAAATATTTAAAATAGCTGAATTTTTTATTTAGCTTTCGATGAAATATAAACTTCTATTTTTCATCAAAAATCAAGCTTTTCAAAAAAGGTGTGCCGTTTTAACAAAAATTAGTTAAAAATTAAATCGTATGCACTTATAAGAACCATGGTTTATAGGTCATAAAACCGTTTGCTTTTCTGTTCTAGGTCTGATCCTTTATAAAAGAATCGGTGCTCCCGTGGACCACTTTCAAAAAAACAA